AAATATAAGAAACAAATTTTAGTGTTGCTTATCTGCTTAATATATACTTAGTAATTTCAAGAATTTGAGGTTTTGAAGCGCTGTATGCTGAAAGACGGGTATTAACTCAGTTCAGCAGCAGATGCAAACTAATGAGGTACAGTATATGATAAGCTTAGATATAACGAAAATCATGTATTTTGTTGTGGTCTAATCAATATTATTATTATTATTATATACTGGGTCTAGCCATCCGACTAAAACTTACCACCCTGCTTATCGAGGCAAAGACAATACCGATCGGATTAAAAAGGAAGAGACGACGCCCTACCAAGTCAAAGTCTGCATTAATAATGCAATAGGTAGATTTTTTATAATTCTTTAAAACTTTTTTGGTTTTGTGACTATTAAGTAAATTACATATTTTGTGTATTGAAGGAAAATTAATAAAAAAAGACAATGAAACAAATTTTATGCCTTTTATTGCACGCTATTTAAATTAATAAAAAAGGAGTTTAAAGCTGAAATACAGCACTAGAATAAATGAACCTACCTACTTTGAGTACCTACCTAGATTTACCAACAATTCTTATGTTTGAGTACCTAGTTACTCAAAGTAGGTAGGTTCATTTAAAGTTCATTTAAAAGAGGGAAGATTAATAATAAATAAGATAGTCAAGAAAAAATAAATAGACCAAGAATAGTTTTTTAGTATGTCACAATTTGGTTTATTTAGACCCCTACAAATGTAGCCAAAAGTATTTTTTTTAAGATCTTGTTTGTATTTATTTCAGACCTTGGTCGAGTTTATAGACGACCCCACTTTAGAATTTATGAAAGCCTATTTTAACTTTTTTATCCGCCAATAATTTGTCGCCTTAGAAAAAATTCAATTGCCACAAAAGAAAATCACTGCCAGATAAAATTTAAATACCTCAAATTAGTTAACAAAGTAGTTTATTTACTATCCATTTTCAGTTTTTTTAAGACCCGGAATGGTATCCATTTGTCGCCGCGTTAAATACATGCCATTAGAAAAGTATCACAATATTGAAACATTATCTGATATGAAATATTTTGAAATTCTCCGTTATATTGTTGTATAGAAATTGTAAATTCTCAATGATTTTATTTGATTAATTTTGTAATCACAATGTTATACTGAAAAATATTTCTAATGAAAAAATGGCAACCGATCCCGAAGCCCAGATAGCGAAAGGTCATAGGTTCGAGTCCCATCTCAGAGTGCCAGGGACAAAGTGCATTTTTCATTAAGATTAATTGTCTATAATTTCAGGCAATCGTAATCGGATACAGGAAAGCAATTACAGGTAATCCATTAAGGGGTACTACCTGTACCATATTAGATTACATTCCTCAAAGAGCTCAGTTTTGTATTTACTAGTGATGCAGTCACTATAAAACTGATGTGAGCAGATATCATAATGCCTTGTAAAATGTTTCAATAATAAAATGATTACATCTCATTGTCCATTGTATGCACTTGTTAATGAAATGATGCCGATGCAATCGGAAGTTATTGTCTTACGAACGTACTACAATTAGGTCCACTACCTATTATTATACAAGTTTGTTTTAAAAACAATTATGTAGTTAGTCTATGGAAAATACTATGACTCTCAGTGGGTAGGTTTATGCCATCTTATGCCCAGCAGTGGGTGTGGAACGGCTAATGCGGTGATGACGATTATATAAAATAGGCAAAAAAAAAGTCACATGTACAGCTATCGAAATAATGATTTTTACAATTCTGGTGATCTTGGCAAATATTTTACCTATCAAAATAGCATGTCATACCTTACACCCCTTGTTTTGCCGACGTTATAGTCCTAATGGCTGGGACCTTAGAAGAACTGAACACCATGCTCGAAGATCTCAGTAGTGGGTCAAAGAGTGGGTCTTAATATGAAAATGGCAAAGAAAAAAAAATTTGGAATACACTCGAAGTTGTCGATCATTACGTATACTTTGGACAGACAGTCCAGTTTAAGTTTAACTTTAAGAAAGGGACTTTCGTCGAATCCAGCTCGAATGGTCAGCGTTTGGGCACCTACGAAAAGTCTTCGCGTCCGATTTATCTCAGGGTCTTAAGTTAAAATTCTTCGACTAGTTTTTGTTGCCAGTGATGACCTAAGGAAGTGAAACGTGCTCGTTTACTATGGGTCTCATAAGAAGTCTCAAGGTCACTCACCGAGCAATGTAGGGAGAAATGTTTGGTGTTTCTCTACGTGATCGAATAAGAAATGAAGATATCCGTAAGAGAACTAACGTAACCGACATTGCATTGATAAGGATACCTAGTGACGTGTCTATACAAATAAATAAAATTGAGATGTCTATTTTTAATATTTGTTTTTTACATTTTTGTCGACTTTCCACGCGGACGAAGTTGCGCACGTAGCGACTTTATCAAAACAACCGTAGTATAAATCCGATAGTATGAGCTGCTGTATATGTTATTATGATATTTAAATTACGTTCTATCAATCCATAATATTATGCAATTTAACTTTTCAACGTTTTCTTTATAAAATTACGTCGTCATGGAGGTTACATATTTGGTTATAAGGTTTCATAACATAACGGCCACTATAGATGGATATTTGTCGGTCGCAGAATGTTATCTTTACTAAAAATATAAAGAGGTAAATATTCTAGCTTTGTTTGTGTGTAAGGGGGTCATCTTCGGAAATACTGAGCTGATAATGTAAATTCTTTTACCTACAGGAAGCTACACAATACGCGGGTAGCATTGGCTATAATTTACGCGGGTAAAGTTGTGAGAAAACAGCTAATATGTGAATATGAAATGACATTTAACCTTACACACTCGACTTATGATCGGTGGCCTGATTATTAAGCAAATTTTAGAAAAGCCTATTATTTATTTTAGATAATTTGATTATTATAAATATCAGTATTTGTCTATGGTTTATTTGACCATCAGTAGAAGAGTCAGGCATTTCTTCTGGTATAATTAAAACGTTTAAAAATAATTAATCTTTTTGAATTTGTAAACCTTCAGCTTTTTGAATCATATGAAATACTCACATAACTGCCAATAAATATCTTTACAAAGATATTAGAAAATATAGTAAGTATGTACGTGATTAATAAAATGCTATTTGATAATTAATCACGCGCCTAATAAATGCAAGCAAGTGTTTGATTTTAAGATTTTTTTCTACTCGAGAACACGCAAAGATATATCACGCATGATTTTTTTGTAAGGCAACGGAAAAGTAGAAATGTGTCTTTATATCAACTCGATAATTTTAAAACTATTATTTTAACAAATAAATAATGTGTTAAAAATGTTTAGGTTAACCTCAGATATAAATAAAATTAATGAAGTTGTCTTTATTTTGACTGAACCTGCTAAACATAAAGGTGGAATTTTTAAAATTTAACTCGTACCTACCTATGTTTTATTACAAGAAACAATGGCTGTATGGGCTTAGCTCCCTTCGCCTTTCCTTTACGGAAAATATCAACAAAAAAAAATATTTTAAAGTTTTATTTATGGTTTACTAAAGTAAATGTGTAATCGTTTTCAAATTTTAACTGTGCTAGTTCAATAGGGAGAAGCTTGATTGCGCAGTGGTTAACGAGTTCGATCTGTAATGCCGCGGTAAAGCAACTTTCGCAAGGGTCGGTCATACGGTGGGTGACCAACATTTTATTATCTCGAACTCTTCCATGCTTCTGAAGGCAGATAAGCCGTTGGTTCCGGCTGTATCTGCAGTCGTTAATACACAGCAATCCTCATTGGCCTCTCGTGACTCATTAGTTATGGATTACATCCACAGAGATGGGCTGTGCCCCTACAGTAGGTTAATGATGATTAACAGGAATAGAGTATTCAAAAATATTTTTTATTGTGTCACACCAATGTCACTGTTTATCTTAATTTCACCCCAATCGCAAATCAAGAACCTCAAATGAAATGTACTCGTAAGTTGACACGAGCATTGTCCGTTGAGTCTGCGTTTAATCATAAAAGACTATCAGTAAAAAATATCCAACGACAATCTATTGCGTGAAAACTTCTATTTTTCTTGCATTTTAGCTCGCAACTTTAGGTTTAAATAATTAGCTCAAAGTAGCAACTCTAGATTTCTATGTAAAACTTTACCTGCGTCGCATAAAACAAATTATGAGACTATGAGAATGTTACAACATTCTTTATTCGAAAGTCAAATTGATAACTGCGCCTTAACAAAATGAATATATATCAACCTTGTGTTATGATTTAAAATGCCTTATATTGCCCTAGGTGATTAAATTAGGTCTTTTCGAGTAATGGATATGTACGGCCTTTGAGTAAACCTTGTCTCTTTTAAAGAACTGGAATTACCAATGCGAAGTTTTCATGGTTCTCTAAATTACCATTTTTTCGAGAAAACAGTAAGCAGGATATTGCATTATTAAAATTCATTTAATTGTTGATTTAGCATGGTTATAGTGTGCTCAATTATGTAACTGCTCGATGTAAGTATCAATAGTGACAAATTCACGAAAAAAAATATGTCATCGCTTTTAATTATATCTAGAGATCAATGAAAGTTTATTACTTGGGTTTTAACTTTTGTGATATCAGTTTCAAATTTTAACATTTCCACCCTGGGGTTTCCTATTTCGTTTTCTTAATTTATAATTCGATACTAATTAAATATGATTTTTTTTTAATGATTTAAATCTAGAAATATTTTTTTATAAGGTTTTAAGTTAAACACATTATTGAATAACAATAAATATACATGCAAAGAATAAAACTATAAAAAATGACTTTTATTTTGTTATTTAAAAAAAATCTTAATTACACAGGAAAATTTTTAAACCTGTAAATAGACAAAGTATAGTTTATATATCCGCTAATAAGCTTTTATACTTTTTATTTTAAACAATTTATACGGTCAAGGAGAATTATATATATTATGACAATAATTATTAGGCTCGAAAAAATGAGAACGTATATGTATGACACTTTGAACACTCACCGAAATCGCAAAAGTTTCACCTCCTTTTACTTTTGTATCACTCACACAATCAAGAGAGCCGGTTTTATCACACAATAATGGTACAGTACTAAAACACTGAACGTTTGCCGAAAAAGAAATAATTATAAAAGAATTTTCGAAATAAGCCGCGCTGTAACTTGTTCGAAAATGGAACGTATTTTTTTTTTTATCGAACGCTGTGTTCACCGCTCTGCGTTCAATTCTATACTGCCGATCAGAAGACGATGGTACGCTCTCTCTGTAATGATTATAGCACTAAAAACTTTGAGACACGACAATCTTAAGTTCTTGTTTGAATTTCCATTAAGATGTCACGATGAGTGTTTAGGTGCAAATCAAACAAAACTATCCGCTGTGTATTTATACCTATATGACATGATCCTAAGAAATTACGCATGATAATAAAACAGTTGGAAGTAACATCGAGTGTGTGAAAAATAAGGTAGGTAATCCTTTGTAAGACAATTCTAGAGTCATTTAGAAATCAAATAGGTAGTTCGTTAAAAATTTGGCAATTGAAATGTCCAGTGTAATAAGGACTAAGAATGTAAAGAAAGAATGAGAGTTTTGTGTACAATCTATGGCATTAAACTGTGAGAATTATAAGTATATTTACTGGTAGATACGGAAAGCCACCCAATAAACGAGGAAAAAACACCACTGATTGTCAGAATTCCGCAATCGATGTTGCTCTGGATTGTCAATTGTAAAATCAGTAACTAAACTATGTGGTTGGTTTTTAATGTTGTGTTGCAAGATTGAAGCCCAGTTTCGAGAAGAATCATCGAGACAAAGCAGTTCATAATATGGTAAATAGCTATTCTATGACATCATCATTTGCTTTCTTTTTTTCCTAATTAAGTATTTATTTGAAGTTGGAATAATATGTATTCATCTTCATACATATCAACTTCATCTCAACCTTCATTAATTTCTTACATGTCTTTGCATATCTTTCTTACAGTGTTTCAGTCTTCTCTTCTCTCTTCCTCTCCTTACATTTCTCTCCATATTCAAGCTTATAATTCTTTTGATAATGCAAATTATCTCTTCTCATCATCATCATCATTTCAGCCAAGAGATGCCAACTGCTGGGCATAGGCCTCCCTCAAAGATCTCCAATGTGATCGGTCCTGCGCCTCCCGCATCCATCATATCTCATCATATGACATCTTCTCATCATATGTCAATCCATTTCCTTTCTGAACCTTCTCAATTTTTCTTTCACTAGCGATGCTTTCAAATGTCACCAATACAATTATTCCATATTTTATTATTACCAGCACTGTTAAGCCCCCTCTGCAGGGGCGGCCTTCCTTATGGATGATTAAGGAGGATGGGTGACTGACTCTTCATGTTGGCCCAATGTGGATTATAGGGTATTAACGACTGCAAATACAGCCGGGACCAATGGCTTAAACGTGCCTTCGAAGCACGGAGTAGCTCAAGAAAATTGGATAACAATAACGCTGCGGCACTTATCTACTATGTCACCAAGCTACTCTTCAATTTATTTATCTGTATGTATATGGAATGATTATATAGGTTATAAGTGTATAAATAAAAAATAAGAGATTTATTTCTTGTTTCAAACATTAAGAGCGTGATTTAGCTGTAGTCGGGTTTTAGTTTATTAATTATATTATTTTTTTAATTATCTAATTAACTTTAAGCTTAATCGTAATATATATTTTTTAGTTTCTTACTTAATATTATTTAGAGGGCGCTATTGCCAATTTAATGTAACGTCACATAGACTATAGCACGCGGACAACAAAGAGGCTTCTGATGATACCTCATTTGTCCTGTTACGATGAGTAGTTTTAAAGTTATAAGGGACAGATGGACATTCTTACTTACCTACATACCGTCCAAAATCATGACCCTACTTTTCGCTTCGCCGTAGTCGGGTAAAAATTATGTTTATTCTGTAAAAACTTTGAATTAAATAAAGATACTAATAAATATAAATAGTTCATTTTACCGCGTCTACTATTTCTTATAACTATAGGTCGGACTCTGTGACGTCACAAAATGAGACCCCTTTCTCTACAACAGTTTTGGTACGCGCCCGCGCACTTGTAATGTTAAAACATCGGATCCATTGTTTATTATTCGATAACATCTTTATGATTGTATAATGCATTTGTGGATCCAGTGCCGGTTTTAGCACTACTGGCGCCCTGGGCGAAATTTCTTCGACGCCCTCTAACTGTCTACTTGTCTTTTTTTCGCCGACCTGGCCTACTTACATGTAATCTCCCCTAAATTTAGGTAGATTGTTAAGTTGGCAGCATTAGAATGGAAAGTAGTGTTCAATCGGTAAATTTTTCGGGAATCCCCGACTTTCCGACCATACAGAAACAATGTGTTTTTCTATAATCGGGGATTCCCTAGATCTATCTCTTTTAATTTTTGACGAAGAAGAACACAATCAACAATTATATTCTTGCATGACATAAGTGAACGCTCTTAAAACAATTATTCGATTATTTTAAAACAAACAAACACAGTAATCAAACGTTTAACGTTACGATGTTCTTGTTCCAACTATATAGTGACATTAGTTTTATTTAAAAAGTAGACATATAAATAGCGTATAAGTTGCTGATTCATTTTTGATGGATCATATCATTAGGTAAGTACAGATTCAATTTTACCCTAGCAGGGTGTCACATAATTGTTATCTATAACTTTGTGTAATTGTTCTAACTTTGTGGCAGTGAGTTTGCAGTGAGCCACTACTCATTATATAATCAATTATTTTACTATTTCAAATAAGTGGACAAGTATCTGGATCCGCTATATTCGGGACAACAGTATCAACATCATCTAGTACATGTATTTGTTGTACATCAATAACAGATTTATCCTGAGCAGCATCTGTAATTATAGCACAACTTGCTCCATTACTTCGGGATTTTTCATCCACAATCTCTTGAGTAGCTATTCCATCTGACTTGCCAGACAGAGGCTCCGATGCCGATGCCGACGCATTCGTTTGTATTGCAGCATTTTAGCTTCAGTTTAACGTTTAAACATGCTCAAACGAAAATTTTCTTAAATGACCGAGCGATAATGCCCGCCAATGTACGTCATATTACCTAATAAAATACATATCTTCATATTGGTAATCGGTATGTTGTTCTGTTTTACCGTAATATAATAATTTTCTTGTTAAGTTTCCTTTCAATTCATGCTGAAATTGAGGCAACTTGAAAATTAAAAACATCCTCAAGGTTCTTGTTCTTTTTTCGCCGACCCAGTAGGCCTTGTTCAATGAGCAAGGGAACTATAAGAGGGCGACTGTGGGAAATGAGGAAGTATTAGAAAAAAAAACATTAGTTCCCGAAATCAAACTAGATGTCGCTAGTCGCTACGGTATGTTCTTGATTTCTCCATGACAACCCTTCCAGTTTTCTTTCATGTTTAAAAGTAAATTAATTTTCAAAACTCAATTAACAACTCATATTCTATTTTTACTTTTTCGTATTTGTATTGATATATAAGTTTCGATCCTCCTTAACCATCCATAAGGAAGGCCTGAGCCCCTGCAGTGGGGACGTAAAAGGGCTGGTGGTGGTATAAGTTTCGAACTTTTCAAATTTCAGTTTTTTAATATGTTAGTTAAAATGAACGGAAATTAGGTACTGTCTTTGTTCCATTCGTTTCCTGCAAAAATCAACTTTTGCTAGAGTGGCCATCTAGGTGGAGGTATTTTTGTACTGCTTTCGTTTTTTTTTAAATACTCCCTCATTATACAGAATCAGAAAGAAGCGCCGGACGAAAAAGGGGCGCCGCAGCCTGCGGCGCCCCTTTTCGTCCGGCGCCCCTGGGCGGTCGCCCAACCGCGCCCTACCCTAACGCCGCTACTGTGTGGATCTGTGATTAATTTTTTTAATGGGGATGACGACTAATTGTTTGAATATTTTGATGAATATTATACACATGTTATTTAATTAGAGCATAATTAATAAATTACGGATATAAATTGCGTGAAATACCGCATGACGTCATACCTTTAAATATTTTCTACGTAGTTGTGACGTAGCGATCCACATGTTGTTAAATTTGACTTTGAATTCGATTATCCGGATTTTCGTTTAGAATCATATCGTTTACAGATATATACAGTGATAGTTATTAACGGGATTGTTACCAGAGAAGATAAAACATACTTTATTGCTACCATGTATCCAAAGCCATTTTATAAGTTATGAATGAAGCACTGAACTTCCATACATCGTCTAAGCTTTGCTAGAAATACGTATTTCAACAATTTAAAGTATTTTTTATGAATTACCACGTGTGTTCATAAGTTTTGAGACAAATTTTTTACTTAAAAAATATATATATTACTGGTTGCTATTTATTTTACCAATTTTAAATTTGGAATGTTAACTTTTATTTTATTTGTATTGCAAATTCATTCGCGTATATTTTCTCGTGATGGAGGGAACAAAACAATTACGTGCAACTGTCATTTCGCTATTGAAGGCGGGAAAAAAATCGATGCAGATTTTCCGCGAGCTGAAAAGTTTTCCTGTAACTTCGTCTATTATACAATACAGCGGTACAAATTCTCTGCAAGATCGCCAAACGAGTGGTCGGCCACTCTTTGTGAGAAGCCTGCGAACATCAAAATCATCCGAGAGCGGCTTCATCGAAATCCATGTCGCACTCAGAAGAAACTCAATATGCAGACTTATATTTCGCGCGTTTTAGTAAACAGAATACTGAAATATGATCTTAAGGTAAAGGCACTTTTTAAACAAGCACGAACACGATCGTTATCCATTGCTGCTGAGGAAACATGATGCCAAGAAGATACTCTTCACCGACGAGGAAATTTCTACTGTTGAAGAAAAGTTCAAACGACAAAACAATAAAGTGTACGCTAAAAGTAGCAAGGATATCTCGCGCACTCATCATCCGGCTAGTGTGTATGGTGGGGAGTTTCACATAAAGGTGTCACTCCGCTCCATTTTTGCCAACAAGGTGTCAAGTGAAGTCAACAATTATCAGAGTGTCTTTTTAAAGCCCGTGGTGAAACCCCTGTCTGATATTTTATTTAACATTAAGGATTGGGTTTTTCAGCAAGACTCGGCGCCATCCCATAAGGCATAAAGCACCCAAACATGGTTGAGAGACAATGTGCCGGCCTTCATCGCAGCGGAGATGTGGCGCTCCTCCAGCCCCAACCCGCTGGATTATTCTTCATGAACTGAATT